TGTTGAATAGTTTAAAACATAAGTTATCAGACATCGGAAGCTTTTAAAGCATCTCAGATTTCAAAGTATTTCTTTGTCCTCATTTCAGCTTCCTTAAATCAGTTCACCCAATCCTTCCCTTTTTTGTTATCAGTTACTTCCTGCAGTACTTTTACAGCATTTAAATTTCAGAATAACTCAATAAAGTGTTTCATGCTACCTTTAACATTAAGGTTTTCCATCGTAATTTCTACTACCATGCCTAGATCACAAACTTTGCAAAAAATCGGTATGATGAGATGCATTCAGCAAAAATGTAAACAGAGAAATTAAGAAACAAGTCAGGAAAGAAAAGATTAGGCAAGACATGGAGTGTCTGAGGAAGAGCACAAGAAGCGGGATGAAAATGCTGTGCTCAGTACCAGGAGCACAGAGAACATTGTGGCCGTTCTGAGTACACGCATTTGGGCTTTAAAAATAAAGCATAGAAGCATAAATCCAGAAATAACAATGGAGCAAATATTGCTACTCCTTTAGATCTTTTCCTCACCAACAAGGACACCTGCCTTTGAGGGGGTTAGGTCAGAATTATTAGCTCTAAATTAATGAACCTGCCGTGTCTTGACAGTGTTTTAAGGATCCTAACAGATACTCCAATCACTGCATTAGCAGGCCAAAAAGCCAAAACCAAACAAAACCTCTATACCACTGAATACAGGAGATTCTTTATTTCATGTCTTCTGTTTATTGAAAAAGTACATAATCTCTTGAATTAGAGGTGCTGAATCAACCAACCAATTCTTCTACTCCCATAGAGTCATAAGATTGCATTTCTCTAAAACATACAAAGCTGAAGAAACAAAGCAGGTATGACCTAGGAAAGCCAGTTAAAAAGTAGCTCTATGAAGTCTCTCCAACAGATGACAGGTCTACTAACCAGCTTTATTCTGGCAAATATATTAATGATGCTTTCTTATTACGATAGAACTTAAAGCTAAGAGATGCAACATTTGAACAACTCTTTATTTTTTAGTCTAGTCTTAAAACATTTTTCAAATCATCTTTGCAAGCATTAGTGTGCACAGACATAGTCTTAGTTCTTCTGCAAGGGTCTCTCCTCTGCTTCCCTTCGAAAAGACACTGCTCTAAACCGTCAACATTCAAGCAAGAGAAACACATTCACCAATTATTCTGTTTGGCCTATTTAATCTCTGCTATCAGTCTGATCATGCCATTGAAATACATTAACTTCTCCAGTTTTGAGGTGTCCTTTTTCTTTTTTTTAAAGCTGGAACCATGAAATGTAAAGTTTGCTCTGGACTGTAAAGAGTAAAGAGTAAAAGAGTAAAAAGAGTAAAGAGTAAGAGAGTAAAGTTTGCTCTTTGAAAGTAAATCAAAGAAAAGATCTTGACAGTATATCTAAACATTCTTTTTCTTTGCTCCATGTTAATTACAGACTTGGCCATACAGGGAATAAATCTGCAATTCACTTAAGGACTCACGTTTTACTCCATTACCAGAAAGCTGCAGACTCAATTTGTCAGTGTTACTACTAATATTCTTCCCATCACTTAATGGTTATCTGGAGCTTATGGAAGTAGTACTACAAGATGAAACAGTTTGAAATGACAGCGGGGATAGAAACTCCAACCTTTTCTAACCAACCAGCTCCGGCCCACAGTTCCTACAAAAAAATGTTTTATTCCACTGCTTATTACCATTTTAGCATGACTACAGTTCTCTACATGACAGCTCTTATTAACAATTAGCAGTCTGTCTTTTTTATTGCTGACTATCTTGGGTAAAGTAGACAGTGAGGGGCAAGATCTGCCTAAGTTTCATTATCAGATCTAAAGAACCATACTTAGAAAAGAGTTGAAAACAGTTTATCCAAAACTCCAAAACCAGAAAAATGTATCAAGCTGTCACATTTTTTTTGTTAAGTTCCAGCAGAACGCAGTACAACATATTTTGAGCAGAAGAGGAGCTGATATAATTTCAAGAGTCAGTAGAAGAGAAAAAAAGTTGAAAAGGTAGTATCTGAACACTAACAATGCTTACAATGAAGAAAGTATTGCATCAGAAATTAAAAAACCATTTCACACACTGTACTTTAGACAACGCGTATTTTTTATACCAAATTAAAAAGAGAGAAATGTTACAGCAGCACGAGTGAAACTACTAGTAAAGTTTGCTCTGGACTGCAAGCTGAGAGTCTGTATCACGCTCTCAGTGAAATCAGTGGGAGGACAAACTTGACACAATTCTTAAAGGCTAAATTTAGATCTCTTACTCAGCCAGTAGTGTCTTCAGTGCCAACAGAAGTCAGTTTTAAATACGCTTCTGTGATAATGTGCGCTTTAAAAGCCTTTTATACATACAAAGATGCAGAATCCAATCTTTGCAAACAGATAAATTTACTCCTCTAGAATTAAAAAAAAATAATTAAATAAACACAGATTTTGAAGATGCTTCCTCATTTGTCATATGCTCACAAAGCTCACAAATCAGGGCAGCACTGGGAACTGTGACACAACTTTCTCATGTGGACCTGCAAGAGATTCTAATCCCAGGGTAAAGCGATTGCTATCCCTAGACAGCATTAGCGGTATAATCTGCATGCAGCTACTGGGATAAGAAGTATTTTCCAAAGTCAGTTAATACAAAATAACACTATAGTAACTTGGTACATCAACTTCTTAATGAGTCCTGACTGTAAGCTGCAAGTAAAGACTGCAAGGCTGAAGATGGCATCACTACATTGGCGCACAGGCCCATCTGAAAAAGATCAAGGGGAAGAATCTTTCAGGGGTAAGGCTGCAAACAAGCCACTAAAATCTGGCACTAATGCTAGGCCTTAAGACATTTCATTTGCAATGTCAAGACAGGATTAAAATCATCACTATTTCTCCAAAAAGTTTATAGATGAAGCCATTTTCAAAATATTATTTAGTTTGTGAAATAACTTGTTCACAGTGCAGATGAACATTAACGTCCAACAGACAACACCCAAATACCTAAAAACACAAGTGGAATTGTCTGCCAATAACAGCTAGTAAACAGACAGGTCTAAAGACAACAGTTCAGGCATGCTGCTTTCTCTTTCCTCCTCACTGCATCCCACAAACACCCTCCCTCACACTCCTGCCAAGTCTATTGCATTGCATAGCAACAGCATAAGGCCTGCCAATTTCTAGAGAGCTGAGCATACTTCCCCATTTAGTGTTCTGTCTAAAGGCCAACAATGCAGTCAGGACATACCAAAACACCCCAAAGACTTGATGTGTTAGGTCTTGAAAGATGGAAAGAACAAAGCATAACATGAAAGCTTTTTCTAACATACTTAACTTCTCCACATTTCTAGCAACTGCCCACTTTAAACATGATTTGTATGGAGTGCTCCTTGGCATTCACAAACATATTATGTATTAGAAAGCTAAGTATCAATTCTTTCCCCCTCCTTCAGAATATCACTCAATCTGTAACTGACACTAAATACCAAATAATTTGTATTCAGATAGACCACTAGCACCAAAAAAGCCATTTGTATTCAGACCAGTTAACTGTATGTTATCATATTAACCCAGTCTCGACACTACTATTTTCTCAAGGAACAAAACCCCCAAAACAGCTACAGTTGTTTTGGAATCAAACTTTCCTTTCTTTGTTCGTAGTTATAGCATAGTCAGCCTTAAAGGAAAAACTTACCAGTAGAAAGAAATTACAGACCTTTCCAAAAGGTTAATAACTCCCTCAGGTAAACAACATATTTTGGGGAAAAGGATTGCAGAGAACCACATAAATCGTGTCAGAATTGCCCAACCAATAAGTAGAAGGCCATGCTGTGTTTAGAAAAGGACCAGATAGATATATAATCCATCCACAACATACCTTTTTCTGTGTTTTTTATTCCCAGGCAGACAAGTTATCTAACTTTATAAAACAAGGACTAACTGGGAAGCAAGAATCTTGTGTTCCCCATTATATTCTTCAGTATCACCCACCTGGGTCTTCCTACTTTCTGTTCACATTAGAATTTGGATGAAAATTTTGGCATCTAGTGTGTAGCCAAATCCTGCCTTAGTTTTCAGTTGAAAATTGAGAAGATGGTTAGGTTTTGCTCCTCACCCACACTTATCTTCGTGATCTGAAACTCAGGCTGTGCTCTTTCTAGCTTGTCCATCACACCTTTGACAAACTCTGTGAGGCCAAATTCTCTTCTACCCTTTGCATTTTTATTCTCTTTCAGGTATAACTCTCTGAATTACCTCATTAAAGACAGGGAAATAAAGAATTCCCACGATGCCACTTACAATAATTTTTAGAGAGGACTGTAAAAAATGGGTTCTCCTCACCTTCCAATCCTAGGCATTTTAGAGAAGAATTCAATGACAGTAACAATCAGCTATGGTTTTGTTTTCAAAAACTTAATTTTTTCTTTCTGCTCTCCTCTGTCCACAACATGAAAGACTTCCCTACTCTATATTATTCCTTACAAGAGATGAAATACTCACGAGGTCAATAGCTAGCAACTTCAAGAATAGACAAATATCACCCACATTCTTCAACTGTTACAAAACCAGAGGAAAGCTCTGGTTTTTCTTGACAATGAAATCCTTTCTTCCACCCTTCCTTCTCTCCTTTTTAACTAATGAAAAAGTAGCAGAACTGCTTAATGGTAACCAGTCCTTCCCTAACAGAAAGAAACAGATGGAGACTGAAGAGATGTGATCACCTGCATAGAAACATAACTTTCTGAAAGAAGTTAAATTAAAGGGACCACTGTACCGTATCATGTGAAAGCTCAGTTACCCCAGGTCTAACACAAAAGCATACTCCTATACTCTAAAAACTCTACTCCTAAAATAACATACATTTCATTAATGTAATGGAACAGAAAAAAGAATACTGTACATATAGCAAAGAAAAGCAACATGTACCAACAAGGGTACAAACTGGTGGCTGAGACTGAAAACAAAGAGTTGTGTTCAGTATGAGGTGAACTTTTAATGAAGACTTACCTCCAGAAACTGGGGCATCCATGAAAACAGCTCCCATTTTTTCAACAGCTTTGGCTAATTCTTTTGAAACTGCAGGGTCTATAGTACTGGAATCTATTAGCAATGAGCCTTTCTTTACTTTCCTAAAATAAAGATTCATTATTAATTATTTGTTGCACAGGACATCTGCAACTATTATCATGGCACTGCCTCTCCTCAATATGAGAAATGTACAGACACTTTTTTGGTACACTAATAAACACAAAGTTTTAAACTCTGTTGAGTAAGATCTGCTCAGTATGTATACTCCTGCGTATGTATACCACAAAATTCTGAATGACTCAAAACACTATAAAACCTGAACACAAAAAAAAGGATGTTCTTCCTAAACGCTATTATAAAAAAAATTACACAAAAAGGGTGTACTAGGAAAACCTGCCATCATGCAAGCTTGAGAAGTATATCGTATACAGATCATCTAAGATGCATTCTAAGCAACCAAACTAAATGTTGATAGAGTTTAAAATGTCATGTATATAATTTTCTTTCTATATATATATCCAATATCTTAAGTTCTTATCAGAATAGCCTGATTGCACTTTTAATCATTGCTATAATTTATTCTACATAAATATCATAATGAATACCACAAAAGCCCACTGCAGATTTAAAGCGAAGCATGGAGAAAAATGTTTTCCCACTGATAGCTAATAAATTTAGGCAGATGAATTGTATCCCAAACTGTAGAACACAAGAAGTTGTGTATGTGTTTAAAAAAATGCAATTTAAGTAAACTTTTTTAATGACCTCAAGAATAAAACATTGATTATATTTTTATCCATGATTCCATTCAATTGCACTGTGATTTAATGTCCACTGGACCAGCAAACACCACAAAATCAAACAACATACTTTTTCAGTCATAAGAAGGTGAGTAATTTAAAGCTACACATGACAGATAAAGAGCTTTGCTGCACCTCGCATGCTGTTGGCAGTACAATGAATTTCACTAAATCAAATTACCTAGATAGCTGTAAATAATCTCTCAATATCTACATACAGTTGTGGACCCCACTGTAGCTCCAGACTCAAATAGCACTGCATACACAGAACTTGTCCTTTCTCACAGAAGGGATGAGCTTCTGCAGTTAGTTTGCAAATGAAAACCAGCATGGCAGATTACAGTACTACATTATCTGCCCTTATGTTCAGAACAAGAAGCAGTGGCATAGGCTCCTTGGTAACACAGCGAGACGACTAAGTTAACCCTTAAACACTCCAGAGCATCAATGTTTCTTCAGTAAAGCTTAAAAAGCTTCAGAAAATTACTGAAGTCAAACAAGATGGTTATCTGGACTTCTGCAAAGCCTTTGACACGGTCCCCCACAACATCCTTCTGTCTAAATTGGAAAGCTATGGATTTGGTGGGTGGACTGTTCGGTGGATAAGGAACTGGCTGGATGGTCGCATCCAGAGGGTAGCAGTCAATGGCTCGATGTCCGGATGGAGACTGGTGACGAGTGGTGTCCCTCAGGGGTCCGTACTGGAACCGGTGCTGTTTAACGTTTTCATCAACGACTTAGACAGCGAGATCGAGTGCACCCTCAGCAAGTTTGCAGATGACACCAAGCTGAGTGGTGCGGTTGACACACCAGAAGGACAGGATGTCATCCAGAGAGACCTGGACAGGCTGGAGAGGTGGGCCCGTGTGAACCTCATGAGGTTCAACAAGGCCAAGTGCAAGGTCATGCACCTGGGTCGGGGTAACCCCCAGTATCAATACAGGCTGGGGGAAGAAAGGATCGAGAGCAGCCCTGCCGAGAGGGACTTGGGGGTGCTGGTGGATGAA